CCCCCACTCCTTACCTACCCCATCTAACACCATCTACCCCCACCTCATCCCTACCCCATCTAACACCATCTACCCCCACCCAACCCCTACCCCACCTCATCCCTACCGCACCAGGCACCACCATCTCTGAACATTTTCAACGTAATCGTCTTTTTCTCACTCAGGCTATCAGAGCTTCACGTTTTTGCGCGCGCTGCTTTCAGATACAATTCATTTGCGTCTCTATGGGGTTTACGACCCCTCCCTCGTTGGCGCTAATAAGTCAAGACAAGCTATTTGTTGGTTACGAGAGACCCCTTGCAGGGCTGCTCGCATGAGGCATCCCCCTCCCCCCTCTCCCAGCATCCCATCCCTCTCATCAGATGTCTTAAACAAAGGCCTAATTTTAGCAGTGACCAATCGCGGCGACTGCTCATCCGCAGACTGTCCCCAACGCCGTTGCTCTCCGTTGATACACCTCGCGTTACTGAACGTCCGGGGACCGTCTACGGCGCGGCAGGCGGGTTTGAACCATAAATGGTTGGGCGCAACAGGGACTGTGATATACGAAGAGAGTGTGAATCAGAGAGAACCCCGAGCGCGACCTCCCCGCGCGTGCGAGGCAAAGGAATGTCGAGGATGCCATCCACAGACGTTGTAAAAGTGGACATCGACTGCGGGAGAGGCTAGGGGAAGCTGTGTGTGATACAGCAGGTCTGATAGAGCAGGACAGTGGGCGAGCGCGAGACAGAGGGCACATATAGAAAGAAGGGTGATGCAGAACGCAAGCGACAAGATAGATGCGATAACATGTCGGTAACGTCCTCATGTTGCTTTGTGGGGGTGCTGGCTACGTTATCGTACAAAGAAAGAGGGAGGAAGAGAGCTATATATATATAGCGCTAATATTGTAATATTTTAAAAACCATATATTTATATATATATATATATGGTTTTTTTAAATATGACAATAAGCGCTTAGGAGCCTGTATATATTTCATGCTACTCACATTTCTTAAAATGCAATAAAATGTACACTGCTATTTCCACTAAAGTGTAGTATATTAAAAATAGTCTCAATTTGCAAGTTAAAGATTCATTGGAATGGTTATACATGCATTCGTAATATTCGATTTCGATATTCGATATTAAGTAACAAGATTGGAAACGATGTCATCGATAACATTGACCGCTGCGATTAATCACATCATCGCGGCTATTTCAATAATCAATAGATTGAATCGAAGTAAAGTATTACTGCAATCGATTACACGCAACGTAACGATCCTATAACCGCAATCTAATATTACGGAGAATTAATTTCTCGTCGTAAGCGATCGCGCTTTTAACTACTGCATTAAACACGTGCTACGCTCTCGAAACCCCAAAAATAAATCACGGGCGCGTATGCACAGGGGGCTGGGGGAGAGAGAGAGAGAGAGAGAGAGAGAGAGAGAGAGAGAGAGAGAGAGAGAGAGAGAGAGAGAGAGAGAGAGAGAGAGA